TCTTTTACGATGCCGTACAGAGAAACATTTCACCGCAAAACAAATCATTAAAGAAATACAGCATATTAATTACTTGCGATTTAACGACGATGGCTTTAAAGAAAACTTTGTTCACACTACATCCTGAGCAGTCTACCAATATTCCTCTCAGAATATTAAAACTTTGACACAAAAAACCGCATGCTTTCTTCTCGAATATTTTTCTGATATTTATACTCGTATTAATCATGAAAAGCTTTCATTTTTAATTTTACCGCAGGTTGCCATGAAACGTCCGTTAAAAAAAAAGAAAATGTAGAAAATGTCAATACTGAAATCAGTATTCTTATTCCAGCAATGAAAATAAAAGAGACATGGCTTTGTCATCTACCCTTAGGATATAGTTCTTCGCATAAGCCTAGTTTGTCCAGTTGTGATTCTTCTAATTGTTCTTTTATTAATACTACTATCATTGAAGAAACAGGACAGGTATTGCTATGTGGCCAGACGTATTACAATAAATATTTTAGCCAAAATGGATCTAAGTGTTTGTATTGTTTAAGTTATATTAAGGATGAGGTTGATACACATGTTCAATCGCTTTTAAAAAGCCTAAGTTAACTTGATTCGAATATTCATGTTGAAAACGAAGATCCCGATTCTATTACTAAAAATAATAATAATAATAAGAAATCTGCTAATAGCATTTTGGTACCTTGGGACAATATGATATAGAAATTTCTTCTATTATAGTTTTTTTAAGTTATTTTTTTAAAAATTTTGTATAAGTGTATATATATATATGTAATTTTTTTCAATTTGCAAAATAAAAAATTATTTGAAATAATTATTACTAGTAATTTTATACATCATATATACATCATATAGTCATCGATGACTTAAGTAATAAATAATATAAAAACATGTGAATCGGATCAACCAATCAAATTTTGTAAAATTAAAAAATCGATCTATGTTGATTCACAGAAAATCAACTAATCAGATGAACTTCTGTCTATGAAGTCCAAATAGTACAGATTTTGGTATGGGTTGGTGATGTAATAGCACGAACCTGGTGGCACGAATCAAACTAGGATTGGTACGTGAGAGGTTTGGATTGGCATTGATTATGATGGCTCGTATTGGACCATTTGTGACTCAGCTTTTATAGCACTTTACTAGTTTAATTGGTATGGGTTGGTCATAATAGCACAGTTTCGGTAGCATGAATTTGTACGTAAGAGTTTGTATTGGCACTACAAATTGGCTGTTGATAATTTGGCCAATTACATGTAAATTTATATACTACAACCACAATAACAAAATAAACATGTGAATTAATAACTAATGCTAAAATATGAAGTATTATAGTCAATATTATATATTCAATGTATATATTATTTGGTATTAAACTAAAATTGCATTATTATATATTGCTTAATTACAGTAATATATAAAGTAAAAAATATAAAATTCTAATATTGCTTCGATCTAGTTTTGCTACTAAATTTACTATTAATTTTGGCTTGAGTTTTTTTGTTCTTATTGGCTGGTAGTGAAAATTGTAAAACATCCTTCTTCTGAATTTGTTTAGGCAAAAAATCTTCAGAATTTTTTTTAATCTGTTTAGGCAAAGAGCCTTCAGAATTTTTTTAAACTCTCTTAGACAAAGAATCTTCAAAATTTTCTTGAACTTGTTTAGGTAAAGAATCTTCAGAATTGTTATTGTATTTTGTCATGTTCAGTTGCTTATTTTATCTGTAGCTTTTGTAATAGGCGAATCGAATTCAAATATATCTATAAATAAACCAAAAATATTTAAATTATCAGATTAAAATATTATTAAATTAAATTATTTTAAAAATTAAATTTTATACTTTGATATGATTGAGAAAAAACATTTTTATTTATTTCTTCATCACTGCTAGATATAGCATCAGATTCTATATTACTTGTAGAGTCTACATATTTATAATTAGTCATATTATTGCCAGAAGTATGTTTAATAAAACTACTAAAATTAGAATTAGATGCAGTAAGTTGTTCTTCATTATTATCTAAATAAAAAAAATTATTTATTAAAAATTAAATTTATTATTTTTAATTTAAATTAATTAAAATAAAATTTTTAATGATCTTATGTTCATTCATAATAGTATCTTCTTGATAATATTTATTAAATTTTACACTAGATCTAGATATATTTTCTTTGTTTGTATGATTATACTTTTCAGTTTCATTAATTTGTGATAATATTTCTAAGTCATCATTACTTGCAACTTGTATATTTGATTCAACTTGTAAATTCGTTTTTTTATTTCTTTGTTTAAAATTATCAGCTATAAATTAAAATATAAATTAATTATTAAAATTTTAATTAAAATAATAATTATAAGTATTTCATATAATATTACCCCTATCTATTAATTTTTGTTTTAAATATTCTTCAACGATCTACTTATTAGAACCAATTTGATGTATATATTTATCATAAACCTAAAAATTATTATATAGTTAGAATTATATAAAAATTTTTTAATAATATTTACTAACTTACATCTAAAATCCAACTTTCTCTAGTAGTATATTCTAATTGTGACCATGTAGTTAATTCTTTAATATTATTTTCTTCAAGATGTGGTATAAAATCTGCTTTAATTTTTGAAAAATAGCCTTTTGGTAATCAAGAGCAAGTAATTAATATGCTGTATTTCTTTAATGATTTGTTTTGCGGTGAAATGTTTCTCTGTACGGCATCGTAAAAGA